GTGCAGAAAAAAATTAAATTGTAGAAAAAAAATTATGTTGATCCTTCCTACGTCTTATATCCCATACAAAATGTGATGCCAACATACCGACCAAAATCAAAAACAACAAAAATATGATCAGCTCTGTATCTTGGAATCAAACTTAATCTGAAACCATCTGTCGGAGGACCCACACAAAAGCCTCATACTGATTAATGGAAAAGTAATAACTCATTGGGCTGTTTCCAGGAGACACAGATTCTTGGTTTCAGAGTTCCTGAGTTGTTCACTCACTGTGCCAGAACAGCTAACTTCCCACAGGGTGTGCTTTAGTATCTCAGCAACTGAGGCCCGGAAGCGAGCTTGGAACTTCTTACTAATTAGGACATAAAGGATGGGGTTTAAGCAACTGTTGAGGAATGCCAAGCCCGTGGAGAGGGGGAGTCCAGCCTGCAGCACCTGGTGGAAATGGCTGCTGTGGTGAATCGTGAGCTCCCAAATGCTAAACAGGTGATAAGGAGTCCAGCAAATCAAAAAGGCCACAACTACAGCCAGGACTGTCCAGAAATGCTTACTGGAGATCAGGATGCTTCGCTTCTTCACCTTGAAGATGAGACACAGGTAGCAAATACTCATTGTTAGCAAAGGGAAGAGATACCCAACAATAAATTTCACCCAGGTCAGAGCATGGTGCCTTATCACAGTGAGGTCAGGATCATGCTCGTGGAAATTGTTATAGCAAAGAGTGTGGTTATTGAATTCCACAGTGTCCCGGAAGTATAGGGCAGGGCCACCAATTAGAGAAGCCAAAAGCCAGATGAATATAACAACAATTAGGGAGTTCTTTAGGGTTCGGTGCTGATGAGACAAGATAGGATGGATCAAGTGGACATAGCGGTCCAGGCTGATCACCGTCAGGAAAAAAACACTGGCAAACATGTTCAACTGGGCAATGAAGGAATTGGCCTTGCACAACCAGACGCCAAAGGGCCAGTGGAAATTCATGGCTACATAAGAGATGTACAGGGGCAAGAAGAGAACAAAAATGAAATCTGCAATGGCCAGATTGAGGAACCAGAGAGTGGTCACTGTCTTCTTCCACTTGAATCCCGTGAACCAAATGACAATGGCGTTTCCAGGAATTCCCAGAATAAATGCTAAACAATATAATACCAGGGAAACCCAGTGAGCAACTCCCAGGTGGCCTTTCTCCTCCAAATCAGACTCCGGAGAGTAATATTCCAGGGCATAGGAATAGTTCTCAAATTCTTCAAATAATGTTTCCTCTAGATCTTCCATGACCTTGCTAAGTGGAGAATGAGGAAATCTATAGAAGCAAATTTAAAAAGAAAGAAAAAAATGTTTTAAAGAAAAAGAAAAGTTCAATGAATGATAAGAAACATAAAGGCAAAAATACTTCATCTTATGGACCAGTCATAGTATACTTTTTGGTAGGTGATTATACTCTAGATGTCCAAGTCTCAGTGGGCCTCAGTTTCATTCTGACTATCATTCTCAGAGCTGCGAGGGCTCATTTTTGTAAAATGTTTAGTAATTGTTAAATTAAAATGAATGACTCTACACGTTGTTCATAACACTTATGAGGCTGACTTGAGAAAATCTAACCTTCCACAAGCATTTATTAGGTTCCTACTAATTCATGGCAGATGCAAAAGAAAACAGATTAATACTTACACAGTGCTAACTTCAAAATCTGTATTTGTAGCCCTGACTTCTCAAGCTCTTGACAGAGAGTTCCAACTGTTTCCTAGATATATCCACTCGAATGGCGCAGGTAAGCACCAAAGATGTTGACTCTCTATTTTGCACCCAAGGATGTTTTGATTCTATGTTTATGAAAGCAAACATGGTAAATCCGAATCATATCAGTATGGACGGCTTTTCATCCAAAAGGTATCTTTCTGAGTAAACTTGATTATGATTACTTAATTTCTATATTAATTTCCTACAGAATGCAATTCAGCTTTATTTTTTATTTTACTGAAATTCCTTTATTTTGAATTAATTTGTATTCTTTCCTATAATCATTTATGACAAAGATTTGATTTGTTAATCAGTTTTACTTTGTTTTTGTCCATACCAAATTTTGTCTCTTATAATTTCTGCCAAAGTAAGTTTTCTTTTGTGGGTCCCCCCCCACCTTTTTTTTCTTACCAAGGCCAGTTTTCCTGGGTTAAGAAGACTTGAATGTCAAATTTTCAATCAAAACAAATGTACTGGGTGAAATCCTGGCTTCTTCAATTTTATTTGTGCTATTTCTTTCTGTAGTATTCAAGATCAAGTAGAAAGAAGATGAATAGTTGTATTCATTTCATGGAGCTACAATCATAAATGGGGAAACAATGTAAGACTCGGGATTACAGTTGGTTAGAATGAACAGGTCAAAACATCCTGTGTTGCTCACAGGCATCTCAAACTCAACTTGTCTATCACTGTTCATCAACCTACCTTAAATCTTCTGAGAAATCTGGCAGGGCATAATTAAAAGACAAAAGCAATTCATTAGCTTCCTCCCAACCCCAGACCCAGCAAACTATTTTTGTTCTTCAATATTCAATTCAAATGCCACCTTTCTTGGAAACATTTCCTGACATTACCTTCCTGCAGATAATGATTATAATAATTTTTGAAACAGGCTCTTGCTCTGTTGCCCTGGCTGGAGTACAGTGGTGTAATTATAGGTCACTGCAGCCTCCATCTCCTGGCCTCAAGCCATCCTCCTGTCTTGGCCTCACACTTAGTATCACTGCCAAACTCTCTCTAACCCTGACCAACAGTTCTATCCCCAGGATCTTGGCTTATTCCTTGACAACAAATCCTATCCTTTGTGTACCCTATTCCAATGAACAAGAATTGACTCCTTTTTGCTGCCCTGTTCTTTCAGGCCTGGGATGTGACCCTGCCCTCTCACACTCCTCCTGGCTTACCCTCCTGTGTCAAATTCTTTCCAGCCTAGTTTCAGACTCCTTCTCTTGGTTTTCTGCCTATGTACTAGGACACCCTTACCTTCCTGGTGCTTATAACCTGTTCTTTTAGGATATTAGCAATTATGAAGCCAAATGGCCCAAATGGTGGTCTGAATCACCTTCTAAAATCCTAAGTAGTGAGTAGAAGGAACCTCATTTCCCAAACAAAGAAAAGCCCATGGAAGACCCCTAATAGCTCAAAACCACTGTACTCACCAAAACCTCCCCCATTTGATGTCCATTATGTCATTTCATTAAGAGTAAATTAATATCTATAGAAATCTTTGTTTTTACTCAAAAAAAATTTTTTTTAATTATAGCCAACTGGACCACATACAAAATTCCTTAATAAATTCCTTTTTATAAACTTTATCTCAACCTACACATATTATCTATAAAACATGCCTAAAAACTTTTCCTTTTGTCCTAATATTCCCTTTTTCTAAATAATCAGTCATTTTAGGACAAAAAATTCCATGCAAGATCCTTTCTTTACATTACTCTTTCTGTTTAACCTTTTTTACCAAAAAATATATTTCTATATTCATTGCCTTTTTACATCTTT